AAGCAGTTGGAAAATGTTCTGATGGAGAAAGAGGCTAGGGAAGGTGAAGGAAGTGCAGGTGTGTTTGGTTTTATTTCCTTAACAAAAAGGAGGCTTATAAGGGATGTGGGAAGGTGGTTTTAATTGCAGAGGTGCTGCTTTGCAATACACAAGCATGGGTTTGTTCTGTTCTGCAGTATTTGTAGGATACACCCAGAGAGTGAACCTGACAAATAACTGAAGTCTGCCTGCTACGCTTGTGTTTACGGGTGTCTGTGCTCAATATATGTCCTGCTTCAGGGTTTCTGTGTGTGTGGAAATTTCTTAAGAGACAAGGACACTGGAGATACAGGTAGAGGGCAGGAACAGTTACTGTCTTTTAGGGTAATAAAATAGCCTTAGGAACAGCTACATTATCTTCCTGGGTAGGTTTGTGCGTAGTTTTGCAGCTTAAAAATGAAAGCAGAGCTGACAAAGTCAGCCAGTGATCACTGGAGTTGGACTCCTGCCTTTGGAAGGACGCACAGCACAGCTGAACTACAAACAACAACTACACGTGCAGGGATGCTGCGGCTCATACGGGCTTGGCTGACAACTAGTACTGAGCAATATCAAGTGAAGATAAAACCCAGCAGCTTGATTTGTGCCTGAACTGTTGTCATGTGCAAAGCTGGCGTGAGGCCTCTCTTCTTAATGTCACTGAAAACTCGGGTACATTTCTGCTGTGCCAGGGGGTTCCCCTACAGAGAAAATACCTTCAATCTATCTTCCCACTGCATCCTTTTGCTTCCAGATCCGTGTAGTGCCACAATGTGAGCAACTATGCTCACAAGTAACTGTTTATCAAATGAAAGGTTGAGTGTTTCTGTTCTGGTTTGAGATGCCGAACCTTACGTGCTGCTACATTTGATTTAGTTCTTTCCTCTTGCAAACACTCAGTGTTTGAGGAGCAAGGGGTGAAGGTCAGGTGAAATCGTATGATACAATTAAGGGGGTTTCATTATTTCCTAATATAATTGATTTTAATGAAAATGGGAAACTCTCCACTAGAATGTTGCATTGATGAAAACATGTTTTCAGAAGAATAACATCCCTTGTGCTGTGTACACTGATTTTAAGTTTTTAATGATCATCTGCTCATGAAGAATCCTCAAACTTTGTAGCAAGTCACCTAAACATAAAGCAGGTGATGTTTTGGCCTCACTGACACGGATACCTTCTTTTCGGAGCACAGCACAGACTTCTTTACAAGCATCTGACAAGGGCTGCTCTTGGGCCAGGTTTTTTCAGCTTGAATCTGTCTGGGGAGGGTCTCATATTCCCAAACTAAATTCCCCAATGGATATCCTTTCTAACAAAACGGCTGCTGGCTGCTTTGGAGCAGGGCTG